CTCTACTCTACTCTACTCTACTCTACTCTACTCTACTCTACTCTACTCTACTCTACTCTACTTGATAAATGGCTAACCAATCTCTTCTTAAAATCCTCCAGTGATGGGACACCCACAATTCCTCTGGTTAATTGTTCTCATCATTAGGAATTTTTTCCTTAATTCCAGGTTGCTTCCCTCCTTGGTTAGTTTCCATCCATCGTTTCTTGTCCTGCTCTCTGGTGCTTTGGTAAATAAGTTGGCCCCCTCTTCCTTGTTGGCAGCCTTGGAAGACTTCAAGTTATTGTAAGATGTAGTAGACTGTTCCCTACAACTCACCAATTTGAGATGCATATAGTCTATTGGCCCATGTTCAGGACGTCCTCTTCAGTCAATGAAAGTAACTTGGTTTGATATACAATATCCAGGATGATAATTGAAGTGGTCACCAGAATAACATGTTTCCTCTTTTTTAAGGTGAAGTCAAGGCACTGCCTGAAATAACACCTGTGCCTATCCCAGGAATTGTGCCATTTAGCCAAGTGACAAGCCAACCAACACCAACTTTAACTCCTGTCACAGTGCAAGCGGCACCACAGGTAACTATCCTACTGTTCTTGTTTTCATAAACAGGAGGGAACCTCTTGGTCAATGAACAAAGGAAATACTGTAGTGCATTCAATTTCTCTAGTGGAGTCAGGGGTTCCCAGTGCCCTGTGGAGCAGCTGAATATGGGCAGGATACTTAGGCAGAAGAAGAATCTTTACTTTAATCCCACAGCAACATTCCCAGAGTGTTATGGAACTTAGAGGTTCTCAGATCTAAGATACTTCTTGATGTTATGGATCAGGGGTCTCCAACCTTGGCAAGTTTAAGATTTGTAGATTTCAACTCCAAGAATAATCCAACCAGACATGCTGGCTAAGGAATTCTGGGAATTGAAGTCCACAAATCTTAAAAGTTGCTATGGTTGGAGAGCCCTGTTACAGATAGCTTTGGTGCTCTGGAATGTGCTGCCGCTCTCTCTTTTTCTTTTAAGGATACAGTTGACAAAGCTTTGTAGAAAGAAATCAAATGCAGCCTTCCAGTGTTTTTTCTTGGCAGGCATTTGGGTGGCTTTTTTTTAAGAGTGCTGCAAGATACACAAATGCAACTTGACATACTATTAATCCCTTATATGAGAGCCCCACTCGACAAAACTAAAGAGTTAAAGACAGACTTGCCTTGTTTATCTTCTATAAAGCCTGCATACTTTTTATTCCATACAGGCAAAAGCTGCTTAAGAAAATTAGTGTAAATTGCCTCACAGTTTAGAAATAAGAGAATCACCTTAGTTCAGTGATATAAAAAAAACACAAAAGAGGAAAATATCCAAATGTACTGTAGACTATTAGTTTCATTCTCAAAAATAACACACTTAAGAGTGTCCAATACATGAAGTAATGCCCTCTTTAGCTCTTGGAATGGGATGTAGAATTTTTTTACTTATTTTGCGGTTCTCTAGAAGAACAAAATTATCCCAGAAAGGGGCTGAAAGGTTGAACATATTGAGACACATATAGAGAATAAAACTGATTTTCTATGGTATCTTTTGATATTTTTTTTCCTCGCCATCCTGCATCTTATCTTTGTTAACAAGGCAGGTCATTTATCTGTTGGGGGTTTTGATACTATTCCTATGGCTTTGGGACTTAAAGGAATGGATAAAATGCCTTTGAGTTCTGATTCATTTAATTGTGATGCAAGTACTGTTATTTCAACACTTTCATACAAAGTAATCCTTTTCTCTACTCTGGAAAATCTCACCAGTTTAGAAAATAATGTATAGGATATCAACAGTGGGATTAAGAATGAGGACAGAGGCAATGGGAATGAATGTTTTCCCATTCAGGTGATGCATACAGTTTCACAGGCGATACCTTAAAATCACTTATCATTGTTTGCCAAGATGGGGAGATTTCTCCTTCCTCGTGCCAAAACTGCAATTGGCAGCTGCAAAAAGAAATCGTGTTTTCATTGTTAAATAAGTTTTATCAGCTTTGCTCTGAAATAGCAGATTGGAATACATCCTAGAACATTTGGCCTTCGAGAAATTGCTGAACAACACCCAGTTTTTCTTATCATTGGCCAAGGCTGCTGGGATTTATAGGAAGGAAGGAAGGAAGGAAGGAAGGAAGGAAGGAAGGAAGGAAGGAAGGAAGGAAGGAAGGAAAGGAAGGAAGGAAGGAAGGAAGGAAGGAAGGAAGGAAGGAAGGAAGGCTGTAGCTTTTATCATGAAATGATTTCCTAGCAGGAAGATTTGCTGCCCACCTTTGTGGAAACTAAGCCAGTACTGTTTTGCACCATGCATTTTAGATATTGCAAGAAAATTATTTCTGCCTCCCTCTTAGTCTACGCTGACCTGTGGGATGGGCATGCACCCCAGGATGCAGTACAATAACACTAGTTTTCTGAAGGGGATCCCTGGTTAAATAACTAGTAAACTAAAATAACTAGGGTTTATTGTGCTATGCTTTGGACTTTGCATTTTGAGCCAAAGGGGGTTGGGCGAACTGACAGCAGAGGCTAATCAATCAGGGCTGGGAATTTAAAAAAAAGAAGAAGATATGTCCCAGGTTCTTTCATGGTTGACTTTGAACCAGCCTCCCCATTGGAGTGTTACAGAGCTGGGTCACCCAGCTGCTGGCCACGAGGGGTGGGGGGGCAAGCCACACCCGGCACATCTCAGTCAGGCTGGGCTGGGCCTCCGGTGGGCTGGCTGACGTGACTGCTGCACTGATGCTGTCCGCAGTGGCGTTGATTTTCTTTTCCCTTTTTTCTTTTTTTTACATCTCGTTTGCTTTTGCAGGTCTTGACTCAGGAAAACTTAGCAACAGTTGTGACAGGCGTAATGATTCCAGCAGGGGCAGTTACTCAACCTCTTCTTATCCCCATCAGTATTGCAGGTCAAGTGGCAAGTCAGCAGGGGCTGGCTGTGTGGACATTTCCTGCAGCAACGGTGGCTGCCCTCCCAGGACTGACGGCTGCCTCTCCTACTGGGGGAATTTTCAAATCACCTATAGCCAATTTGCAAGGTAACCACCGTTTCTTGGAAGTCACATAGGGGGAGCAAGAGTGTTTTGCTCTCCATCAAAAGGCCAAGGTGTTCTGATCCAAAACAGCATGCATCCGACTTCTCCCCTTAACTTGAGTGCAGGAACCAGATCCCTTGCTGGAAAAGTTCTTCTTCCTTCTCGGAAATGAATGGGGACATTTTTCTAAGTTTCATGCATACATCAAAACTCCCAGCCCCCAGGATGTTCCCTTGCAGACCAGCAGTTTCTTGGCTAAATAATGTCACTAAATTCCTAGTCTTGTGTGACAGCAGAAAACACAATTTGGATTGGTTTGGTTTCAGGGGCCTGTTATTTATAAAGGAAACCGTGGTTCCTGTTGGCCATCTCTGTAAATAACTTCCATTTTCTGAAGACTGTTAGGAAAGCAATGCTTAATTAAAAATGTAGAGCTAGCATTAATTCCCCAGGTGCTACTTCTTGCTAACAGTTAATTCACACAAGGAGCCAGTGATGCAAAGGATCCAGGTAGCTGTGGTTACTCTGAGGTGCAACAGCTGTTCCAGCAATGATGGAGCCCAGCCCACCAAGCTGTTGGCTACTTGTTTAGATGGCCCCTGATTTCATCTTGCATTAGAAAAGAATTTCTAGCACTAGTAGAGAGAATTCCATGGAACTCAAAAACCTTCCCTGTCTGTTTCAATATAATTACTTCGTGTGTGGCATATCTTTTAACTCCAGCTGGTACAACAGTTTCTCTGAATATGAAATACAGGGAGCCCTCAACTTACAACAGTTCGTTTAGTGACTGTTCAAAGTAACCTCACTGAAAAAAAGGGATTTATGACCGTTTTCCATGCTTATGACCATCGCAGCCTTCCCATGGTCAAAATTCAGCTGCTTGGCAACTGACTCATATTTATGACGGTTGCAGTGTCCGGGGTTACCTTTTGCTGACAAGCAAAATCAATGGGGAAACCAGTTTCACTTAATAGCCGGGTTACTTATTTATCAACTGCAGGGAGTCGCTTCAACAACTGTGGCAAGAAAACTTGTAAAATGGGGGCAAAACTCACTTTGCAAATGTTTCACTTAGCAACAGAAATCCTGGATTCCATTGTGGTCATACGTTGAAGACCACCTGTATCTGCTATCCCATTTTATCTTTAAGGTTTTGTTCATGGCTCATCAGACCCCCATACCTGCTGCAAAGTAATTCTTCCCATTGCTTTCCCATGGATCAAACCTAGAAATGTGACAAACCTGGAGGCTGAACCCCCCCCCTTTCAAAAAGTCCTTTTTGCGATGACCCAATATTTAACGCATTTCCTTCTGTCTTGCTCTCGCAGCCACTGCAGTGCTGAACACAGCAGTACAAGCCCCTTTGCAGCCTGCCCAACCTTTCCAGGCACAGCCAACAGCCCAGCCTCGGCCATCTATCCAAACACAGACTGTGTTCCAACCACCAGCTCAGACAACTCTGTTGTCACAGCCGACCACAACAGCCACTCTACCTGCCGTCAAGCCACTGGAAACTCCGACACAGATCGCGGTTCAACCAACAGGATTTGCAGGAATAGTAAGACGCTGGAAAACCCCTTCCCTTGAAGAAGACTTTTTAACTACATGGAAAGCAGGGTTGGGAGTAGACAAACCTTCTATAAATACATTTCTGACCCAACTCAAGGCCTTCCACATCACTTTGGTCCTTTCTGATTTTGCCAGAGAAGAAAATCTCATGTACATTTCTGTGATGAATACAATACTGGATAAGTTCAACAAATCTAGTAAATGTCTAGAATAAACCTCTGTGCCGATAATGAGAAATCTATTTCTTTGATAACCCAAAAATTGATTTCAATGTCCCGGATATAAAATTTGAATCATAAGTTATATTCAGTCTTCATTTCAAATGAGTATATGAAATGCTACCGTCTTTCCCTGAAAAATAAGCCCTAGCATGATTTTTTCATGGCACTTGTAATATAAGCCCTATCCCCAAAATAAGCCCCAGTTAAGATTGTCAGCCAGATGTGTGCATTCAGTACTGTTTTCCCCCCAAATAAGACCTAACCAGAAAATAAGTCCTAATGCGTATTTTGGAGCAAAAATTAATATAAGACCCGGTTTTATTTTTGGGGAAACATGAGTATCAACTTTAACACATATATGAATGAGAGCCAG